CCCCAAAACCCCAAAACCCCTCAACTGATAAAATAGGAAACATTTTATAATTATTAAATTAAGAAATTATGTTATCTCATAATGATAATTGGAATAACAATAATAAAAATGAAATAGATGATTGATTTGACTGAGCCAAAATTGCTAGCTAATTTCTAGGGATATCATTTTTATCTCTCCCACTAATTATCAAGATGATCAAAAATAGTTTTGCAATCTCTTCTAGGAGAATAGTTGTCATAGACTTCTATCTATTTTTATCTCTTGATGATCTAAGAATCAGGGGACCTGTCAAACTTTTCATACTGAGAGGCGAAATCTCTAGGCAGTCTTAAAATTCCTCTGCCACTGTTCTTGCTTTGCCTGCTCTTGTTCGACTAAATATCACATTAAGATGGATTCATGAATGACTGACTACCAGAGTAATGATTTTCCTTCTCTCTAATTGATTACTGGTCATCATTGGGAACCCTGTCAAGAAAGCTTACAACTTTCTTTTGAAATCTTCTCTTGGATTAAGACTCAGGGAATATCATTTGAGAGTAGATTTCACATTATTCTTCCTCAACAATTGACTGCTCAATAAGTCTTCTGAGATTATTGGTTCTTTTGCCAGATGTAATGTTCATACTCATTCTTTAGCCTTGGCTATTTCTCTAAGTCAAAATTCTCTCCTCCATTTTGGGGATTGATTTTTGAGTGGTAGGTGAGTTATCAGGCTTCATTAATTTATCTGATTTTTAAGATTTAAATCCATTAGAATGTTTATTCTTGGAAGACTCTGAGGAAATGTCGTAGCAATGGGACGAATTGAGACTACCTTCAAGTCCTTTTCTCTTTGATATTTTACTATTTCTACTTTTGTAGTCTGAGTATCTCACATTTTTGGAAGAATGGTTACTCCTTTAGTCATTTCTTTTTGAATCAGAAAATCCTCTGTTAATTCTCTCTCTTCCATAGGAATGAACTTCTGTTCTGTAGGATTTCATAGTCCTATCACTGCCTCTGTGCGAGAGAGGTCGCCTTTGCCTACTTTTATCCAGAAATGATTTGTACTCAGTTTTACTTTCTACTGCATGATATTTCTGACCATAGTAATAGACAGAAGATGTCGTCACTTGGTAGTTGCAAACTGGATAACGTCTGAAATATCTGTCTATGCATTCTTTCAAATTTGAGAGGATGGTATTTTTTGTAAAAATTCTTAACATGTAGGAGCCGTTTGAAAAATCTGATCTGCCAACAATGAAATGCTTCCTTCTCCTGTTAATCTAATTAGTTAATTAGTTTTCATCGAGGAGTCTATACTCATACATATTGGAGTATTGATGTGGTCCAAGGACTCTAAACTTCTACAGCTCCCTCTCTAAGATATCATGATTTTCAAATATAATGTCCTTGTTCAGCTATTGCCTTAGATAAATTTCCAGGCCTTCTATAGTTATCTTAAAATCTTCTGGTGGCAGCTTCTTTACCTTGAATGCTGACAATTTGAGAAATTCAATCTAGACAAAGCCAAGTACTTCATGGAGCTTGTCATATTTCACTTCAAAAAGCTCCTTCGATTCTTCTTTATTTTTGTTTCTAAGAGTAACTGAATCATTGCATTCTAGATGCGATCTCAAATTAAAGGGTGACTTTGTATTATCTCTTGTATATCTACTGCCTCTCTAACTACCTCGTCCGCTCTTTCTGGGAGCATCATCAAAGTTCCTAATCTATACTGACTTGATCTCTATATTTTAGAACATCATATTGGCATTCACTTCTTTTTGACTTTTTGGACTGCAAATTTGCTTTTCAGTATCCATAAAAGTAAAGTCTGTACTTGCATTGAAATTCTCATTTCTAATCTTGCTAGGATTAGCAAGGTTTATGATAGATGATTGCTATATCTATTAAGTAAAAGAATTTTCTTGGTTGAAGTTGTCATGAAGAAAGCTGTAGTCTATCTAGTCATCAATTAAATCTTTGGAATAGTCGTACTGATTATTCATTTTAATTTCAAAATCTAATTATTAATTCAACTAGAATCTGCTATATATAGTTGAGGGGTTTTGGGGTTTTGGGG